CTTTAACTAGATGTGGTTGCTAAAAGGTATCATACTGAAACAATATGACCCAGTTCCTACTATTTTACATAAGAACCTAAGATCTATCATAAGTCACCTTTCCATCACAGATGAATAAAAAATTACTGTACAAAGAAGGTTGGGATCAAGTGTATCCTGGAAGTAAAGGTTCTCACTAGGCCATAAGTTTTCTCAGACAATACTTGAGAAGAAAATCAAAATCAAGAATAGATAAGTTCCTCAGACAGTTAGGAAAAAAAAGAATATTCCAATCGGGCATTTCTTATTGAGAAGAAGTTTTGAGAAGTAGATCTTTGGAGAAAGCTGAAGATATTTTTTTTTCAATTTTTACTTTTTCATTTTCTTGTTATTTACTTAGACATTTTTAGATATCTCTTTCCCTTTTTTTTTAACCTATCCTTTTGTAGTTTTCTATATTCCAGCAGCTTGATCAAATATACGGCAGTGATAACCTGCTGACAATGATACAGTAGACTAAAAGGATCTTTACCCAAAGACACTACAGAACAAAATATTGTTCCCAAGGCTAAACTTAGAGGCTATTATGCTTATAACGAGTTAATTAGATTATGATAAAAGTTTAACTATAGTATGTATCATGCTGCTCAAATGAAAATGTACTTATGTTTTCAATTGATTAATAAACTGACAATCTAGCCTGGCTACGGGTATACAAAAAAAAAATAAAAGTAAAAAAAAAACAAGATTCAGAATAGATAAGTTTCTTAGATAGTTAGAAAAAGAAAGAATATTTCAATAAAATAATTTCTTATTAAGAAGAGATTTTAAGAAATAAGTTTTTGAAAGAAGCTGGAGATTATCTTTTTTTTATTTTATTTTCTCATTAATATATTTTATATTTTTATATTATATTTTTTTTTAATCTATTCCCTTTATAATTTTCTACAATATAATAGCTTTATAAGAGATATAACAGTAATAATCTACTAATAATAAATTGATGGACTAGAAAGATATTTATACTAAGTCTATTGTGAAGTGAAGTATTGTCTTTAAAATCAAACTTAAAAGTCATTGTTGCTTATTACAAATTTGTTAGATTTGATAATAATGTTTAACTATAGTATGTATTATACTGTTCAAGTGAAAATGTATTTAAAGTTTTCAAAATAATTAATAAACTACAATCTAGCCTAACTGTGAGTATTACAAAAAAAAAAAAAATTAACAATTTAATTTGATTGTAAATGTTACAAAAAGAAAATAAATTAAATTAAAAAATTTTTTAAAAAATATTAAATAATATAAAAATTTTAATTAAAAATTATTTTATAAAGCTTATTATTAATTTTTTTTTAGATTACAATTTTTTTTAAACTATTGTAAATTTCTGAAATGTTATGGAAACTCTCCTTAGATAAACTTTATGGAGTACCATTAATTTTAATTTTAATATTAATAATGTACTATTTATAGTTATTCTACAATGGTCTCGACGATATTAGAAGATTGATGGGCTTCACGTTTCTCAATTGCAGAAGATAACACCTGAGATCTAAAAGATAAACCTTTTGTACGTTCAATAACTTGTTGATAAATAGAGGTGTGATTTTGATTCATTATAACCGTATTCTGTAAAATAAATAAATAAATAAAATAAGATGATTAATAATAATGAGGATGCATATATAAAATTTCGGAATGGAATATCAAACCTCTTTAAAGTCAATTTTTGCGTCAACCCGTGTATCACGAATCAAATTGACAATCCATTTTTCACCTTCCTCTTGACCCAAGTTCAACGTTTGAGACAAACCACTAAAGTATTTAATAGTCAACATAAATTTATGTCCATCAATGCATAGATGCTTTTGTAAAACATAGGGACACAAACCTTATATCAATCTTCAAGTGAATCCGACAATAAGTTTCTGATATCAAGTACCGAGCATTTTCAATAAATTCCACCTTTGTTGCTACAAGGAAAAAATCGTTTGAAAGTACTTCCTCACATTCTTTTAACTTATGCTGCGCGCCTTCAAAATCGAACTTGACATAAAGGCTTTCGATAAATTCAGTAATTGGATCTCTATATTCATAGCTTTCTTGTTGAATGATTTTAATCAAATCTTTTAAAATATTTTTCCGACGCTTGTTGATTACCACAGCAGTAGTGAGATATCTGAGAATCCACGGGCATGATGTTTGAATGGTATTAATATAAGAAGGACTGAAAAAGACATCGATGATACTATCGCGTCCTTTTGAATGGTTAAAAAACACGAAAATCGACCAATGAATAAACCAAGTGCGTTGTTGGAGTTGGTGCAGGGGAGATGCAAAGTTCTGCATGAGTAATAAAAATTTTTTAGAATGCATAATAACAGGAAACGCTCAGGGCTAAAAAGGATATACCTTTTGATCAATTGTTTCTCTCAATTTTTGGACCTCTTCTAACGCAGCGTCAGCGTCCCAATTGGGATCCAAAATGTCTGACGCAAGCTTTCCCCATAAAGCAGATAAAATGAGTTCGTGGTCTGTAGACTAAACAGATTATAAAAATTATTGAACAGTAATAATCGGTTAATCGTAATTCAAGAGAAATAGAACACAAACCAATATTCGGAAATGATACAACAGAGAGGAAGCACCTCCATAGTTGCCACAATTATATTGGAATTGAGCAAATTGATATAAAGTATAAACCATTTCGTCTGTAAGCTTAATTGATTAAAAATAACTGGTCGATTAAAA